GACCGATAGTATCGATGGTGAGCCCAAACCATCGATGTTTTGCTAAATCGTTCGACCATCGATAGTATCGATATTGCTATCGATTGTCTTGCCAATCCTACTGCAGAGGCTCTTCTCTGGGCCCCGATAGCCTAGTTTTTCACTGTGTGTTGTTCTTGGCCTTTGCAATGCAAATAAATCATCATGTCGATGCATTTTGAGCTTGACTCTGCGAAGAGTACGTGATACCAGTGCACCTTCGTGTCTGGAGGCCCGGCCAATTACATATTTGTCTTGGGTCTGGCCCAAGTTCGGTCCGATTCCCGACTCCCTGACTTTCTGACTTTCTTGGCCTGGCCCTGTTCGTGCGCAAGTGCTCCAGTTTCCCGTTTCCTATGAGGTTTGGGCCCTCCTTCACGGCGTATTACCGTGCGATAATACCGCAATTCATCATTATTTTCTCGTTGGCAGTGTTCGCTTTAGTTTTTCCTCTAATGAAAGGGTTCCGCTCGTTTTCTTCTGCCCACTTCTACGATTTTTCCCCGCTTCTTTTGATGTATTGGCAAGTCAAGTAGTAAAAACATCGAATAAAACAAATTGCTGTAGTGGTTAGCACTGGCTGGCTGGCATTAGCAACCGCTAGCAGTTAGCTTAGCGGTTCTTCCGCCTGATCTGTGTTTCTGATTCCCATTGTATTCCCATTGCAGGCCCACCAAGGGGCGTGGCGCGACCCCAATTAAGCCTTAACTGATTACAATTTTAACGGCGAACCCAGGCCCGCCAGCCAAGATTGCATGGCCAAAGATTTCGGCTCATTAGCCGGGCTTAAATATATAAGGAAATTACAGAAATTGGTGGGCAATAGGCAGACTGTAGCAACTGGCCAATGCAAATGCCAATGCCAGTTCCAGTGCCAGCGGAATGCCGGCGATAAGCGCCCAGAAAATCCGCCGAAAAGGAGCCACAAATTTGCGAGCTGCAAATTTAGATCAATAAAGAACACGCAGAGTGCAGGCCCAACCCAAAGAAGGCGATCGAACAATGGCCAAAACCAACTGCTGCCTGCTGACCTCAACTCCCTGCAAAAGTGTGGGCGTCTGTATGTGTTAGCCACGGTCTGTGTGTGTAAGGGTGTGTGTGTGTTAACCCATTATGGCGCCTAACATACGAATGGCGAGTGGAGTGGTCTCCCCGACATTCAGAATGATTGCATCACGAAGTACAAATTTAAGCAGCGATTACCCCGCCCCCGAAACTTCAGCCACGGATGCTGTCCATTCTTTAAGAGTGCAGAGAAAAAATCGAATCTTTAGTTGCAATTTAAAGCCATTTCGCAAACTTTTAACTAAATTCCAAAAATTTGAAAGCTTAAATAAAACCAAATTTTTCTCCGTTAAAAAGCTCGCACCTTAGAATAAAAAATTCTTATTTCTACGTTTCCTAAATCGTTGTAAATTCACTTTAATCGATATTTGTTTAATTCTGTTTAATGTCAACAGCCCCGAAGGCTGACTGTAGGGGCTTTAACACTTTTATTTATACTTCAGCATATACCTATTTATGAAAAATCGGGAAGAAAAGCAAAATAGATCTGAAGCAATAATGTCTTTACCTAATGTTCTTGAAAATCTTTCTAATCCCAAGTTTCTAAAGATTCTTTCAGTGCAAGCGGAGCTACAAAGAAGAAAGGGGGAGTAGGTGGGCTGGCAATTTCTATAAACGCTGCTAAATGCACGAGCTGAGCAGAAAAAGGAAGGGAGGGCAATGGCACGAAGAATGCCGACTATGATTAGGCCGTATGAAAATTATAAGTTTCTTTATGTCGCTTTAATTGATGCTGCTCCGGATGCGGGGAATCTGAATCTGAGCTTTTAGCTCAGCTTGTTAGCAATATGCTGTCAGATACACAGATGCAAAGCAACACACGCGCAGCAACTCCAGATGCAAATTGCATGTGCAAATATTGTGATGGCCAAGCCGCGACTTTATGATTTATTCGCCATAATTATATGCAAATCGGGCAAATCGTGCGCCTAACGTGCAATTTAATGCGGTTTCGTTGTAAGTGCCGCCAACGGACAGCAATCGCTCCTCATTTGCCACCTCCGCTCCATTTCATCCCATCAAATTCCGTCCCATCCCGCCCCCAGCCAATGGCCAACACCAACAACACCAACAACTCCGTCAACACGCAAATCAACGAATGGCAACTCGAAGCCAGCTGCGAGTTGCTCTTGTGGTCGCCGCAACAGCAACATGTTGCCGCTAATTGAGGCAACACTGCAGCGACAACTTGCCATATTTTCCTGCGGTTTCTGTCGCCAGCTGCGGGGGCTGCAGGTTCGGGGTGCCTGGGTAATTGGCCAAGTAATTGAAGCAAATTGGGTAGAATAGTTGCGGAAATGCGAGCGACAAGTGTGATTTCTTGGGGATCAGATCGAAAGTCAGATCGAACTCCTTTTAGAACAAACACTCCCAGAGCTAAGCCAAAAAAATTAAAACATTAAACTATACAACATTTTATATCCCGTGCTATCTTAAATTAAAGTGAAGTCCCTTGTTTTTTTAAAAATTAAAAAGGAAATGGAAATACATTTTTAAATTTTCTTTATATAATTATTAGGAGACCACAACTAATTAAAAAAGAAGAACAATAAAAAACAGATACAACAATTTATATCCCGTGTTATCTTAAATTAAAATGATGTCCCTTGTTTTTCATAAACTAAATTGGAAATGAAAATACATTTTTAATTTTGTTTATAAAATTATTGGGAGGCCACAATAAATTCTCATACGAATTTCAAATGCTTACTTTTAACTACGGATTATGCATATAAATAATTTAATTCAAATAATTTTAATTCAAATTGGTTTAAAATGCACCTTTACAGCACGTGTATAATTCTCGAATACATTTAGGAGGCAAATGGGTTTTCTTATTTCAAAGCCAATCAGGCCTTATTGAATTGAATTAAGAAAAAATACAGATTTTGTTCAATTCCTTATGGAATTGGATTAAATATTTCATAATGCCTAACTTCCGCAACATTACTTCAAAAGTAGCTTTGCTCTTTCCTATGTGGCTGTTGTTGTTTGACTAATTAAAGCCCTTGCGTTGACAGTTGGAAGTGGTTCTACAAGCGATCCGGGGAAATGCCCCTGAATGCAGCTGGCCGCTCAGAACGGAACGGAAACCTCTGCCACTCGTACTGCTAGATCGGATCGGAGTGGAGACACCTTCGAAGCCCCTACGATAAGTCTGAGACCAGCCTTTGTTTGGTCGGGCAAAACACCAGACGTCATATCAGCCAGGGCAAACACACGCGAGAGTTGAATGGAAATGAAGGTGGAGGTGGAGATGGAGTGAACCGAACCCACCTGGTGCAGTGCAATTAACTCGCCTGCTCCCCATCACTCCTCGCCCGGGGGTTCCACTCCACTCCACTCCACTTATCGATTGCATTCTTACTCGTACCCATGCTCGTATTCATATCAGCGATGCACTCCGCCTGTGCCCCAATTTCCGCGGGGCGGGTCGGGCGGAGGAGGGGGCGTGGCATCGCACTCTAATTGGAGTAAATTATGTTTACACATTCGGCCGACTGCAATTGGGTCACCGTGAACCAGATTGGGCAAGAATCGCTGGAGTGAGGGGAAAAGTGCTGATATGAAATGCATTTGGTGTGCTGGTGTGGGGGCTTACATAATTACACAGAGAAAATACTGACGTTCAGAAAATGAGAATTTGAATTCTCAACTTGAGGATATACTCATTTTGAGTACTGATTTTGCCCAAAAACCCACATTAAGAAAATTTGTACTCATTTTAAGAAAAAATACTTAAACTGAGTATATATTCTGAATTTGAGAAAAAAAGTGCTAATAATGAGGCAAAATGTACTCAAAATCCCTGGTCCAGCTGTCTGAGATGTCCTGACCTGGAAGCCAACACCCAACGTTTTGAGGTTCCGAGTTCACTTTGTCGCTTTCGTTTTTTTTGTTTTTGTTTTTATAATGCTTATTTATGTAACTCTTTATCATTTCTAAAAAAATACCGCAAATATTTTGCTTAAATTACGAATTCTCCTTTTGAAATAAAATAGTTGTGCGGCTTTAGCTTACTGAGAAGTTAGAGCGTGCGTGGGTGAGTAGCTAAGGCTTACATCCAGAGAGCGAAAGGTTCCGGGTTCAATTCTCAGTCCAGGCATGTGCTTTTCATAAAAATATTTCTTAAGTAAAATGATTTAATTTAACACGTAATTTAATAATATAACATAATGTAAAACAAACAATAAAGTTGAAAGAAAATGTTAGTTACATTTTTGGCCAATTTATTTTGATAGATTCTCATTTTGAGTTTTTTCATTCTTGAAAATTTGTACTCACACTGAGTAAAATGGTCGCAAAGTGAGAATTTTTGCTGTTGGATTTTTTTTGAGTACGAAGATTGAGTGCAATATACTTGATTAATTTTCTCTGTGTAGGAAAGCAGAGAAACCGAAGCTGTGTGGTCTCATCTGGGGATTCCAAACCGACGCCGTGGAATGCTTAATTAGTTCTCGCGCTCATATAATTGGGTCGTTTATTCAAAGTGGAAAAGTTATCTAATGTCAGCAGAAAATGTAGGAGTTATGAGTCGACTTCGAGTCCGATACAGAGCATCTAAAAATAAACGGAAAACTAAACAGGTTTCCTTCTCCAAATCACCGAACGGTGAGTCACGGTCGGAGCAGTCAGAGCAGTGGAAACTGCAGCTAGAACGCCAAATGGAGGAAAAGCAGCGCCTGAGCGCACCCTCTCAGCCATATACTATGCACCATGACATGTTGTGTGTTTTCCTTTGTGTAGCTGCAATCTGAATTGGGCTTTTCCCCGTCTGGAAAGAGAGGCTTCCCCGCTAGCGACAACGCAGAACTGAGTGCCCCATGCAATGAGATTCCATTAACGAGTCGCGTTCTGGACCGGTTCTCTCTCATCCTAAAGCCGTTTGGCTAAGGTCAGCTCCGACGTCGATGATTGGTTTCGCAACGATCAGTTTTGTAGCGCAGCTGAAAACGAGCTGATCGGCGGATCGGCGGATCGAAAGAATATATATTCATTTAAATCGGTTTTCAGCCAGCAATCATAGCAGATAAGAGAAATGGCGAGCAAAACCAGTGAGTTGTAGAAAGCCCCCTCCCCCTCTATCCCACGCGCATTAGGCATTGTTCTCAAAAACGTTTCTTTCAGCGATCCTGCTTCTTCTATTAATGGTTGCCCAGACCTTAGCGCAACAGAACAATGCCTGGCAGCATAGTAGCTATGGTCCACGATCAGAACTGGGCACCCGTTCTCTGGCCACCGCCAGGAGATCTCAGAACAACCAACAGGCCCTGGAGGACGTGGAGGAGGTGGACCTCCGGAGACGCGAGCCCACCACCCCGCCGCCCACTCGGCCGCCGCCCACCTTCAGCTACATGGACCGCTTCACCGGCAAGCTCTTCCACAAGATCGTGCGGCCGCTGCAGCTGCGCAACGTCGTCTTATCGCCCTTCTCCCTGCATGCCCTGCTGGGCATGATCTACGGCGCATCGGAGGGCAAGACGTTCCGCGAGCTGCAGGAGGTCGGCGAGTTCGGCGAGAGCGCCAGCGCCGTGGCCCTGGACTTCGAGCGAGTGATCAAGTTCAAGGAGTCGCTGGGCGCGGCCGACCTGACCCTGGCCACCAGGGTCTTCTACAACCAGCGGCTGGGGGGCATCAACCACAGCTACGACGATTTCGCTAAGTTCTACTTCGACGCCGGCACCGAGCCCGTGGACATGGACCGCGGCAAGGAGACAAGAGACAAGATCAACGCCTGGGTGGCAGACAGTACACGCAACAAGATCCGCGACTTGGTCGCGACCGACGACATCAACGGCCAGATGCAGGCCCTGCTGGTGAACGCCGTGCACTTCAAGGGCCGCTGGGAGCACGAGTTCTCCATCATGGACACGCAGCCCGCCGAGTTCCATCACACCGGCGGCCGGACCTCCCAGGTGGCCATGATGTACAACGACGACGTGTACGGCCTGGCCGACCTGCCCGAGCTGGAGGCCACCGCCCTGGAGCTGGCCTACAAGGACAGCGGCACCAGCATGCTGATCCTGCTGCCCAACCTGCGCAACGGACTGCCCAGCCTCGAGCAACAACTGTCGCGGCCAGAGTTCGACCTCAACCGGGTGGCCCATCGGCTGCGCCGGCAGTCCGTCGCTGTGCGTCTGCCCAAGTTCCGGATCGAGTTCGAGCGGGACATGACCGAGCCGCTCAAGGAGCTGGGCCTGATGCAGATGTTCACGCCCAGCTCGCAGGTGACCAAGCTGCTCGACCAGCCGGTGCGCGTGGAGAAGATCCTGCAGAAGGCCTACATCGACGTGGGCGAGGCGGGCACCGAGGCCTCGGCGGCTTCCTGTAAGATGCCAGCTACTTTTCGACCCCCAAGCAAACACCCTTCACTAACAATCCTCTTTTCCAGATGCCAAGTTCGTGCCCCTGTCGCTGCCCATCAAGTCCAAGGAGTTTATCGCCGACCGGCCCTTCGTCTTTGCCATCCGCGCGCATAACACAGTGCTCTTCGTGGGTCACGTGGAGGATCCCACGCCGATGAACGCCAGAAACGAACCAAAAAGCGATGTGTACAATTAGTAATTGATGGCTTTGTTTCCGAACATAGCCTGACGTCGATGCATTTGTAAGAAAACCACAATAAAGTATAACATGTATTTATGGAAAACTGAGCTCCGATAACCTCGTGCCGCGCTGATAAGAGTAATGCGACCTCCATCGCCCATTCCGATTGAGACTTGTGCCATTCCATTGCTTTGTCGAGACTAGTGGCTATGGCTATTCTGGATTCCCGCCGATTGGTTTTTGCCCGCTTCTGGAAGTTGGCAAACCTGTTTGGGAGCCACCGCCAACCTGCCGCCTTCCCCGGGTCCACAGCCCAAATCCAAAGGGGAATTCCTCGATCATTATTCAAAAAGAGCGAACTTCCTCATGCGCACTAGATCTGACTGGAGAACGCTGGTGAAAGAATGCTGGGAAAATCTTGCTGGGGGAGGAACGGGGCGGAGCACTCAGACTACGAGATGAGTTATTGGAATTCCCGCTGAAAGCTGAGAATAATTAATCGCGCTCAGTCAAGGTTGCGTACACTCAGATAAATTGGTACGAATATAGGGCGGTTTAGAATGATAAGTCAGCTTTGGCTGAGTTATACAAAATTCGTAAGCATAGAAGGTGGTTTAAACAACTATTGTCTTAGCATTGTTGTCAATTTTTTGCATCGCTAGATTTATTAAAGACGTTTCCATTAAAATATTAGTTTTCTGAAATAGTTACATAACATCAATTGTAGTTTTTGACGGATTGATCACCAGAACTCTGCTTCAGTATGCCTTTTGGATCAAAATATTACAACTGCGAAAAGAAGGCTTATTATTCTTGATAATGTGAAACCATATGTTTTCTAATGAAGCATTAGTTATAAATATCGTTAATAATGGGATATATTTGTATTCCCTTGGCGATGGCTTTGCCCAAATAAAGGTTTTCTTTCTATTGGACTTCAAGTACCATTTTAAAAATTAAAAAAAATTTCATTCATAAATTTTGTTTGTAAAAATGACATCAATTTTTGGTTTAACTACCCTAGAATGGCTATTATATGAAATGAATATTTGTAGGTTTCCGTTTCGATTTTAAACTATGTTTGCGTTGCAGTGTCGAATCGGCACACTCCAGTGATTATCTGAACTTGAGAATTTCCAGAGCGAGATATATCCAGTTGTCCGGATAGAATCTCCCGCTCTACGTCACACCAAATCTCTCTCAGATCTTGGGAACTCTCCGTCCCTCAGAACTTTCCGTATCACCAAAGACCTTCAACGGCGAGCTTTGGCAGCGGAGCTCTCCAATCAATGACCTCAATGTCTCAATTTAATTTGAATTTCCATGAATGAGCGCGTAGCTCAGTTGTGTGTAAGCCACTGGATCATAAACATTAGTCGAAGCTAGGCATTTCCCAAAAACATGATCCACGGGGAGCTACTTTTTGCCCTGTTAGTGGCTCTGGCATTGGCTATAGTCCCACCATTTCCAGTCGGCGCTGAGCTCTCGGCCAGATCGGCAGCTACTGCCTCAAGCCATCGCTTTGGCCTGCGTCTGACCACTAAGCTGGGATTGAGCCAGCCGGACGCAAACGTGGTGGTTTCCCCCTTGCTGGTACAGGCGGCCCTTAGTCTGCTGTATGCGGGGAGCTCTGTGGATTCCGGAAGGGAACTGCGGCAGGCTCTGGAGCTGACGCACGCCAGTGGTCCCAAGGAAGCGGTTCGGGACATCCAGGCCCTCCTGTCGGAACTCAAACAGTCCGCCGCAGTTGGCTGTCGCCTGAGACTGCTCAGCGACTTCTACGCCCAGCAGCGCTTCACCTTCAACTTCCGCGATGAGTTCGAGGCCTTGGCCTCCCAAATGGGCGTTGGCTGCCACCGCCTGGCCTGGGAAAGTGCCTCGAACGCGGCCCAGGACATCAACTACTCTTTTCTGAGCCGCAGCAATTTCAGCCTGGGGGAGCTAGTGAGTGCCTCCCAACTGGAGTCCCTGGCCGAGCACAACACGCCCTTCTTACACGTCTCGGCACTGACCTTTCGCGCTCCCTGGGCCCAAGCCTTCGACCCGGCTGAGACACAGAGCATCAATTTCTTCGCCGGAGGAAGTCGCCCCAGGCTGGTGGAGGCCATGTTCGGCCAGCACCGCTACAGGTACGCCGAGGTTCCAGCTCTGGATGCCCAACTAATAGAGGTGCCCTTCGCCACCGCGGATCTGAGACTGCTCATAGCGTACCCGAATCGGGCGGATGGGCTGGCCCACTTGGAGCGGAAGTTGGCGCAGTCCGACCTCCAGCAGCTGAGGGGGCAGCTCCAGGAGCGCAAGGTGGCCCTTACCCTGCCCAAATTCAAAGTTCTGGTCCACTCTACTCTGGACGGAGTACTTAAAGAGGTGAGCTAATAGCCACATAGCTTTCTAGCATAATTATTTCTTAGTAAGTAGTCATAATAAGAAACTAGTTAAATGAATGCATTAATATGTGTACTGGAAGCTTAAAACACAATAGGTCTACATTTATTTTTGTCTTTAAAAGATTCCCCTAAGGGTATAAGAGCCATATTTAAATATCATCAATATCATTACTAACTGTAAAGTACCACATTTTTAAACAATTTTAAATATCTGGAGAAAACACTAAAGCAATCAGTTGTGAGCCTTTTAAACTATGGATGCCTTGAAATTTAGTAATTCGGTCAACACAAAATAAATGAATCTTAATATTAGTTCTGAAATAAGTTCTCAACATTGAAACAAGTTTTCCTACTGAAAAATTTTAAACGCCATTTTAATATTTAAAAGGACACTAGCGACCACTAGAAATAGATGGTTTCAGACACTGTCAGTTATTACTTAACAAAAATGTATCTTGCAGCTGGGGCTGGCGAAGCTGTTCACATCGGAGATCCAGCTGAGCGAGGTCTTCAGCTCCATATTGGCCAGTTCGGCTCCCCCTTTGGGAGCAGTGGTGCAGAGCAGTCTCCTGGAGCTGCAGGAGGAGGGCGGCGACGCGGGCGATTCTTTTTGTAAGTGATCATGATTCACTGTGTGGCTAAGAAGCCCTGTAACCCGCTGTTCTTCCAGCCTTCGGCGATCTGTTCCGACGAGCCCTGCCCCTGGTCATCAATCACCCATTCTTCTACGCCATCGGCAATGACAAGACCCTGCTGCTGGCCGGCCACATCGTGGACATATGAGTCTCTCCAATGCTTACTTAGTATGCGATTTCAATGCTAGCTCTAACCGGGGTTATCGCCTTATCATCAACGCTCGAATCACTGACAAATAAACAGAATCACCCGTGGCAAGCCAAAGGTGAAAAATGATTTGTAAACACACACGATCTGTTTTCGGGGCCCGAGAGTTACGGCGTTGTATCGCCCGAATTTAGCGTATAAATCCGACTGCAAACAGCCTCTAAAGCCGTTCGCCGATCGCCGTGATTTTAGTTCACATTTCGACGAGCTCGGAGAAGTCTCAAGTGCGAATCAAGCGGAGCAGGAGACGCCCATCAACAATTTATGTGACGACCATGGCTGTCATCATCAGCTGCCTATTACGTAAGCCCCAATTAAACGATCTGGTTTATGCACAGCGAGAAAACTATTGAAATTTTTTCAAAAAATAATTTGGCTTAAGAATATAAAATTCAAAACACGTGTTAAAAGAATTAACGTGGAAGTGTATTAAGTTCAAAGCGCAGTATGTTTAAGAACCTTCTTATCTGTGATTGATAACAAGGATTTTTGTAGTTTTTTCCTCAAAAGCGTATTTTTTTTAAAGGCTGCTTATTTTAATAAAAACACGTAACTAAATGTTGAGCCAATCGTGTTAACCAAATCTGATTTTAAGCTCATGACCCATATATATTTCAACTCAAGTTAATATTTGAAGTGAATCTGATCTGTTACCGCTATTATTGTGATACAGTATGTTGTGCAGTCGAGTTATAGCTTGTTTCTCTCAGTGCGCACTCGATTGGCAAGGCGGAGCCTGCAAACAAATTGCCACTAATGCCATGTTTCGCGTCGATTCTTTTAGTCCTCCTAGCATCAGTGTCGCAGGCCAAGACCGTGGGCTACGATGCCGCTGCCGATCGCAATTTGCTGGCCGCCGATCTCTACAATGCCGTGGGCGTCGATCACCTGAACGAGAACATGGTCATCTCGCCGGCGACGATCCAGAGCTCCATGGCGCTGGCCTTCGTGGGGGCCAAGGGTCAGACGGCCTCGGAGCTTCAGCAGGGTCTGCGCCTCGGGCCCGGGGACGCGGACGCGGTGAGCCAGCGCAGCGGCAGCCACCAGCAGTCCCTGACCCGCGACAACAACTTCCGCCTGGCCAACAACATCTACATCAACGAGAACCTGGAGTACAAGGGATCGTTCCGCGATGTGGCTCAGCGCCAGTTCGACTCGACCATCGACAAGCTGGACTTCCACCCGCCGTACAACAAGCGCACGGCGGAGGGGATCAACCGGGTGGTGGCCACCAAGACCAACGGCAAGATCACGGACATCCTCCGCCCCGAGCTGCTCAACGACCGCACCGAGGGCGTGATCGTCAACGGGGTCGCCTACTCCGCCGCCTGGCAGAAGGCCTTCCGGCTGGACAAGACCGAGAAGCGCTCCTTCCGCACCGGCAGCGGGCAGTCCGTGAAGGTGGACACCATGTGGACCCTGCAGAACTTCAACTACGCCGAGGTCAACTCCCTGGACGCCAAGGTCGTGGAGCTGCCCTACCAGAACCCCGACTTCTCCATGCTGCTGTTGCTGCCCAATCGCAAGGACGGCCTGCGCTCCCTGCAGCAGTCGCTCTCTGGCAAGAATCTGCTGGCCGAGATCGGCGCCATGAGCCCCCACAAAGTGGAGGTGCTGCTGCCCAAGTTCAGCGTCACCTTCGCCACGGGCTTGGAGGGCCCCTTTAAGAAGGTGAGTACGACTCGGTTCTGGTATCGAGTCTCCCCGAAGTTTGACTACTCGCTTATTTCAAACACGATTGAGTTTCGATTTCGTTGTTTTGGACAGTTGTCAATAAATTATTGGTTTTGTTTGGTATTGCCGTGGACAGTATTCATACCGCTAATCAATTTTACTTAGAACTTGTTTAGCTTTCATAAGTTTGATTTAGAAAAGACGGTAAAACATATAATTAGTAGCACTGCGATAACTAAAAAAAAAATTTTAAAACCTGTCGAAGCTGGTTCACAAATTTTAAAAAGTGGGAAAGTTAAATTATTTTTTTAAGACTGTTTTCTTATGTCATAACTACAAATGTTTTGAAATTGCTTTAGTTATTGAGAAAAAAAAGGTAGGGCGCATTAGTTATATTCAAATAATTGTTATTATTTATATTAAGGAATTCACATATTCTCAATATTTACAATATTGTTTATTTAAATTGCTCTCAATTAGTTGGGCGTCCACACCATGTTCTCGAGGGACGGCGACTTCAGCAACATGTACCGCATGTTTGTTAGCCATTTTATCAACGCAGTGGAGCACAAGGCCAACGTGGAGGTCACCGAAGCGGGTCTCGAGCAACCCCTGGAAACTGGCCGTAAGTAGTTACCCAAATGATTTGAGTTTTATATTAAATGCATTTATTTCTTTTCATAACAAGTGCTGAAGGGCCTCTTTTCGCGATCCAAGAAATTCGAGGCAGACCATCCGTTTGTGTTTGCCATCAAGTACAAGGACTCGATCGTCTTTATCGGCCACATTGCTAACTACGCTTATGTCTAAAGCCAAACGGTGACATGTTGATTGTTTATAGCAGCAAAATATTAGAAAAATTCGCCAAAAGTTAAATAAAAGCAAAATGCAAAAAGAAAACAAAGTTAATTTATGGTCAAGTTTTGAACAAAAGATTCATCTGAGATGCTCAAGATTGTCACCCACAGAAAAAACAAGTTCTATGAAACCCATTGAACGTCCTGTTAAGCTTCTTAAGTCTTCAAAAAATGTGTACAAATTTAGTTTTAATTTAATCCGGGCCTGGCACTCACCTTTCTAGCTCCACGGGCATTTGATTTGGGTTATCCATGCTTGAGAGGCTGAGAATATATCCGAGGTTCTTATCGCTGGCGTTTTATCAGCTGAGGTCTCTTGCCTTTGTTTTTCGCTTGATTTGCATTCATAGGTATTTCACTGGTGACACTGGGGGAGGGGGTGCTGCCTTTTGGCATTATTTATATTTATTATCTTATTTTGCGGTTTCTCGGCTGGCTGCGTTGAGGTTGTTTCCTTTAATCGCGCACATAAATCAACAAAAGCCGAACCAACTGACAACAATTTGAGCTTAGGCGTATTTATTATTTCTTGGCGCGCTCGTGCAAAAACATTTGCGGAGTGCCTGTCGATTTTTGCGGCTCCAGCGGAAACTGGTTCGCGCACCGAATTAACTTTGGCTATGGTCAGGCCCGATCTTACGGCCTAATTGTATTTATGCATGTGGTTGGGGACATTTCGCAGGGGTGGGGGATGGGGTGGCCGGCCATTTAAAATAATTGATGCACATTTCCAGGCCGATCAGAAAACACAGACACTGCAGGCATTTCATTACTTTCCGCAAACTCCTTCTTTCGGCTACTGCACGCGACAGCTGCCCGATTTCTGGACTCCCGTTCACGTTCACCGATCCCCGGCACTTGATAAGCGCAAAGACGCAAAGACGCAAAAGCGCAAAAAACGCGGGGGCCGTCGCTGCTCCGTTGCGTTTCGTTACCTTGCGTTTCGGTTTCGGTTTTGGTTTCGGTACGTTACGATCCGATCAATGCGTTCGCGCATGCGCTCTGCCGAGAGTTGAGTGGTCGTGCGAGGCGCGCAGCAGACTGACAGCCATCGACGATCGGCCCCAAAGACGAACTCCAAAAAGTGCCGAACTCCCCTGCAGGCCGCTCTCTCACGTGGCGGTCTCTCTCTCTCTCTCTCGCTCTCCGCTCGAATACCGGTATTCTTAAAATAACGGGTACAGATCCGGACCGATATCTTTCTGCAATTGTAATGTCTGCTCGTCCCTTTGTTAGAACCGCTCGCTTGCCCCCGACAAGTTTTCTTTGTTTCTTCGCCTTGCGAGCGGAATTTTAAAGAGCCTCGCCCGAAAGGGGGAAGACTTGCAGCAAGTGCATGGTGCATGGTGCATGGTGCTTGGTGCATGGTGCAGGCACTTTTAAAACAAAAGCCACAAGTGCTGCCCCTGCCAAATCGAGGGCTGTGGAAACTTGTTTCCCCGCAAACTGACAGTTCATTTAGCTAATCCCAGATCCTAGCATCCGGGACTAATCATGCAATCTTATAATGCCTCTAAATGCAATCTTTATTTTTTAACCATTCATTAAATTGGTTTTTATGGTTTTAAATGCATAGCATAATATCCTGTTTTGTTGTCTTTATACCCTTGCAGAGGGTATTATAATTTCAGTCAGAAGTTTGCAACGCAGTGAAGGAGACATCTCCGACCCTATAAAGTATATATATTCTTGATCAGCATCACTAGGCGAGTCGATCTAGCCATGTCCGTCTGTCCTTCTGTCCGTCTGTCCGTCTGTCCGTCCGTTTATATGCAAACTAGTCTCTCAGTTTTAAAGCTATCTGCATGAAACTTTCCCAAAAGTTGTCTTTCTATTGCAGGTAGTATATAAGTCGGAACGAGCCGGATCGGACGACTATAGCATATAGCTCCCATAGGAACAATCGGAAAAATAAATGAAAAAAATTATAACTTTGCTGTTTTTTAATTTTTTGTTTAGTTCTTCGACATTTAGTAATGGTTAAATATTTCCGATTTACGGTTTAAATTTCATCAAAATCGGACGACTATAGCATATAGCTCCCATAGGAACAATCGGAAAAATAAATGAAAAAAAATTATAACTTTTCTGTTTTTTAATTTTTTGTTTAGTTCTTCGACATATAGCAATGTTTAATTATTTCAGAATTATGGTTTAAATTTTATCAAAATCGGACGTCTATATCATATAGCTCCCATAGAAATAATAAAAATATATAAAATAACTATCTTATAATTGAGCTGCAAATCATCATAGTTTCAATGTTTTTCAGCATATACTCAAGTAAATCATAATTTAAATATTTTCAAAAGTATTTAATTCATGCAATAGCTGCAAGGGTATATGAACTTCGGCTTGCCGAAGTTTGCTTTCTTTCTTGTTTTCAATCAAATTAAGTGTATTCACAAATTAAGTTAAGCCTTAATTGTCTTGAAATTAAACTGAAAACGGATTATGAGTACCTGTTCAGTAAAATACATATCATACCCCTTAAATTCCTAGATATTCTAAAAGAACGTGGGGCTATATATACAAGTATTAGTTAAAGGCTCAAATTAAGTTCACGCACTCACTAATTGTATTTTAAAATTTTTTATATACAGATTTGCTTTAAAGAAAAACCGCGATTTTTAATTTTTAGTGTAGTTAAAATAAAACAACGACGTCTTTAGCAAGCCACCTGCACTTTTTTTAAAGTAGTGGGTTCGCAGGCCTTATCGCTTTAATTGTTTTTGGTTCAACCAATTCGAAAGGTAAGCCCTTAAAACCTCTTTAAAGGTGCGACAGTGCATACAGTTGCCGTTAATTATATTCGGTTATTTTCTCCGACTTTTTCTGCTTAATTTTGGGGTCGCACGTTCATGTTTGTCATTTTCGAGTTAAATATTGCAATTGTCTTCGGCGATATTCGGAGTCTTAAATGCTTCTTACCTCAATGTTTATTTTTGGCTTACGCGACCGTCGGACCACCAAGCTACAGTTTATATTATTAGCTATCGCCGTGTACTTAACAGGTTTCTTGTGACTTGCATATCTGATGCCCGAATACACCCGTAATTGGATTTTTACCTTAAACAATGAATTCGATTCGCCTGTCAGCGCAGGAGAGGGTCATGTTCGTTCTGAACAATCATTCCCACTTCTAAGGCATTCCGAATCGGTCGATGTGGAAATGAAGATCCATTTTCTTACGATCTTAGTTGTGGCACTAGCTGCTGTTGAGTTTCCCCAAGCCAAAGCTCATTCTCAGGACGATATGTCCCATTGTGTCTCGTGTCCAGATGAATTCAGGGGCCGGTTGATCTGCGCCTTCCTCAACGGCTGCCACCTGGAAATGGAGTACTGCTCCATGCTGGTTTTCAACTGTGCGCGTTGGCTGCACCGTAGACACAGTGAGTATTCCACTTACGACGTGATAAGATAGCCCACACCAGACCGAGTTTCTTTCAGTGTTCCTGGTGAAGAACGAGGGCAAGTGCCATCCAGTGCGGGGATACAAATGCCAGTTTATGGAATTCTAAATTGTTTCGGAGGCTCTCCGCATTTATTGGTGTATGCAATGATTACAGCTTAAAGTGATTAATCTGAGTGAATGTGTAATGGTGTGCTTATTAAAACTTGACAATATGTCCGGTGAAATAGACGGCGTGCTTATCGCGGATGATGAACACAAACGGATGATCGGCCACAAAAGTCTTCGGGTCCAGGGGCAGAGACATGGGCACCCCAGCAGCATCTAAGGGGGGCAAAAAGGTGGTGGTTATATCTTGGAATTTCAGATCACCTTTTGACTTACAACTGACGCCAGCCGCCTCGCAGCCGATCTCGTTCACGTCGATGAAGGTCTTGTGCTGCACCTTGGTGATCCGAGTGCCAATGGGCGAGTCCTGGAAAATGTTGCTGAAGTCGGCTGCATCCGAGAACATGGCACTGATTCCCATCTAAAAAAGGGATTTAAAGGAAAAGTAAACGCATTTCATGGTTGATATTACTAAAATATTAACGCAATTACTGAACAATAATTTTCTTTGGTAATTCCTTATTTAACTTCTTTAAATAACTATATTTATATTCTTATTCCTCAAATATATTTAAAAATGTCTGTTATGATCGAACCATAGCTCTTTTTTAAATAAACTACAATAAAGATAAATGTAATTCAAAACCTACTCTCAGCTTAACATGAAAAAAAGAAAACGGGCCTAAGATTTTAGAAAGGTCTAATCAAAGTAATCAAGAGACATTCTGGAAAGGTCTCCCCTAGATGGGTTCAAAATCTAAATATTTTAATTCCTGACAGTCCCACAAAGACCTCAGTTTATGACCCCAGCTCTGGCCCTCTAAGATCTTATCTCCCCTGGAAAACCATTATAGTGACCCTTTCCTCACCTTGTGCAGCGTGGGCCGGAGGTCCGTGTCGAACTCGAACTTGAACTTGGGCAGGTAGACGGAGACACTCTGCCACTGCCAGCGTTCCTCGAGCAGCTTGAAGTCGACGCCCTTGAGCTTCTGCTCCAAGACCTGCAGACCGGAGCGCTGGTTGGGCAGGATGAACCACATGGTCAGGTTGATGTTCTCGAAGAACAGCTCGATGGCCTTGGCGTCCAGCTCCGGATAGTCGGCGTAGTAGTACCAGTTGTCGGCGAACATCGTGGGCACCTGGACGGATTGGCGCTCGCTCAGCCAGAACTCCCGGTCCCGGGTATCTTCGTCGTTGAAGGGTCGTGCCCAGCGGGCCTTGAAGTAGATGGCGTTGATCAGGGCCACGTTGGTGTCCGGCTCCAGGCTGTCCACCACCCGCTCGATCTTGTCCTGCGTCTGCTGCTTGACCCACCGGTTGATCCGCTCCACAGCATCCGTTTCGCGGCTGAAGTCCAGAGGCTCCACCTCGGAGTCGAAGTACCTTTGGGCCACCTCGCGGAAGTGGTCCGAAACCTTAAGGTTTTCCCGGGTGTACACCTTGTTGGCGATCTCCAGCACGGTCTTGGACTTGATGTAGGAGTGGAGCAGGTTGTGGTAGCTCTCGGCCAGGCCATCCTTGCTCTCCTTGGCGGAGGCGTGCAGCGTTTTCTGCAGTTCCGCGGCCGTTCTGCCCTCAGCTCCGTAGTAGGCCAGACCCAGGGCCAGCTGGATGGACACCGGCGATATGATCACGTTCTCATCCTGACGATCCGTGGCCAGGGTTTGGAAGAGCTCGGTGGCGAACAGATTGCGCTCCTTGATCGTGTTTCCATGGCCACCCGGTGCGGAGATCAACACCCCGAGAAGAATAGCTAGGAGAATCCAAAGAGATTAGATTTCAGGAGGGGTTCTCAGCGATCTTTGGGTTTGAGAGCTCACTGCTTAGCCAGTGGATCATTGCGCCTGCGTCGACACCTCGAGACTAAAAGTGAAATGGCCCTGCCACCTGTCATTTATAGCCGCCCGTCGACCAGGAATCCAGACAAAGCCACGCTAAGAACGACGTCGACTGAGGCGGCGACTGCGACTGCAACCGCGATGGAGCCTGATGCGCTTTGCATTACAAGCAGCGCCAAAGAAAAGCCGTAAAAACGGAAAGGCTAAGCTTACCGATCGAGGTTTGGAATACCCTTCGAAAATGGTTAAAGTGTTGTAACGTAAGAACAGAGATTTAAAGGAGAAATTTAATAACTTCAATAAGTTAAGTTTCGAGTTCTGAGTTTTAATAATAATAATCATTAATAATTTAAAATCAGTGTTAAAAGCCATACCTGCAAAAGTTGTTATAAAGAAATTGACGGTAAAAAACCAAAGCCGATATTAAATTATTAATTTCTTATTTGTAACAAACAAAAGTATATATTTATAATGGTATAATTGTAAAGCCTTGTACTATGTATTTTTTATAAAAATAAAAAAATATACTACTTATCTAAATCTAATCTATTATAATAAAGAAAATAAGCGGATAAAGCGTACAAAAAAAATCAAAAAAGGATGAAACATTACGAAAGAAAATGAGTCTTTTAATTGCAAAACTCTCCATAGTCTCCCTGACTTAAACTAAAAGTTTTATTTACAGTATAAAATCTGCATAAACAAAACCAAACACCAAAACTTTAATTTATATTATACATATAATAAATGTTGTAAAATAAAACAAACCTCATCCTGACAATGATACACTCGTTATTGCAGGGTATAAAAAAGAAAGAAAGAAAGAAAGGAACTTTGAGGTGGATTGGGTTCTTAACCCGAGCACCTGGTAATACTGGGAACAGTCTCGGCAGGTAATCTTCTCCTCTCCCTGGAATCGCTGTACCAATCTCGATCTCTCTGTTTCTCCAGCTCTCTGTCTCTCTGCCTCTTGGTTTCTCCAACTCTCTTTCTCCGAATCTCCGGCGGTGCACTTGAGTTTTCGTTGCCCTCGCCTTCTGCACTTGTTACCCACCTCGCGCCTCGAGTGGCCGCCTTGGGATTTACTCTGCTGTCAAATTATTTACATGCATGCTTGGACCCAACGCCAAAGCCAGAAAGCCAGAAAGGCAGAAAGGCAGAAAGCAAGGGGGAGTTGGGGATGGGGCCCTGAGATCGGGATTGCATTAACATTAACTCTAATTTCCGTTTACGGACACGAACCGAAATGTTCAGGTTTTATGGCCTTTGCATTTAATGAGTTATTTTCGTATTTGTTTAGATAATGCGTCCATAAACAAAAAGCAGCGGGCAAAACAAACACCATTGCGCATAAATTGTTTATCGGGCTTGGAGTTACCGCCCCACCTCCTTGTTCCAATTAACGGCAGCACGCACACACAAGTTTACGAAATCCATGAAAACCGAAAATCGAAATGAAATCTCAGCAGGCTCAGGTGAGTGCCCAAAAGAACCAAAGAAGATGGCCAATTTTTCATCATCAAAGACCTGGAGCGGAGGACTTGGGACCGAGCAGCACTCTCCCGCTGATTTATCAAAAGTCCCGAAATTCGCCGGGATTATTTATGCACAGTTTGTGTGAAATGCTAATAAATTTTAATGGAATTTTAAAAACATGCTTTATGGACCCGGACTGGCGGACTCCGCCCCCCCAAAAAAAAAGGAAGCAGCAGAGGCACAAGGAAGCCTTCTTTTGTAAGGCTCTTTCTCGGGTGTCATAAATTGGCAGCTTCCGTGGGTTATTTTTGATGCCGTTGCTTTGACTGATGGGCTCCTTTAGCCCCAGCGATCTTGCATAATTACGATATAGATATAAGGCGCAGAATCGAAAATCGAGGAGCTGATGGCAGCATTACAAAGCACAAAAACGAAACGCTCCAAACACTTTCAATCGGCGGTTGGGGGATTGGGGCTGCCTTAAAAGCACAAAACCAGATCCAGCTTAACCTTATATAATTTACAACCACCAGTCCGCAGAATGTGGTGAGTCTAAGTCTTAGTCTGAGTGTGAGTGTGAGTGTGTCCTGTCTCCTGGCAACGACCGGAGAAGCGCTGCTGATGCTGACCGTTCTGATTGAATGATTTCACTGATCGAGACAAAACATGTTAAAGATCGTGAGATGCCCGGCCAGAAAAGCTCTTCGGCAGCGACTCTTGTCTCTCCAGATACACACATCTGTCGGGGGATCGAGGAAAGGAATCTGGCAGGACACTGAACAAAAAATAGACCTACACTTGTAACACACAGGTTTTCTGGATCACACGTATGTTATTGAGAGCACGGGTAAGTAAAAATAAAAGGCCTTAATCGTTATGTTCACTTAAACACATTTCTTTTTAATTGTAATTTTTTTCCACACAGAGTTCACATCACCGAATTACTTGTATGTTAGTATGTTGCACAACACATGATGCGTTAGTCGCAACGCAAAGTTTCTAGCCCGAACAGTTAAATTGGTGTTTGCTTGTTAATTTCCAATTTCAAATCGATGCCAAATGATATTCTTTATTACTAAGCTATAAGTTCAGGAAAAAACGTATCTGGAATCAGAAAACAAAATAAATTAACCATTTTATTTTAAAATTTAAAAAAATCATGAAAACCTTAAAAATAAAATATAAAAACATAGTCTCAAATTTTCCGACTTATAAGAAAAACTCTGAAAAATAAATAAAGAAAATAAAATAAAATGTATATATCAACAAAGTTTGCTATTACATATTAAATATATACAAAATTGTATTCGAATATAATTTTTTTTTGTTGTAATTGTGCATGCCTTTTGAAATATGATAGCTAATAGCGGTTAGTAATAACAGTTACGGGTTTTGGTTGGATACCCCGCAATTAAAGTAGCTTGATCCGAAGATTTACCGCCAAAACGACGCATTCTACCGGCACTATAAATGTAAATAGAGAATTAGCAATTTCTTTCCGTGGATCCATCATGCAACAGCAGCAAAATGCTGCGGCTGCCGCTGCTGATAAAAATAAACTTGGCAAAAACGTCTTCCTCCGGCGGAGCGGCTGCCCCGCTTCTCGGAGCCCGATCTTCGGACGCGGCTTGGAAAAGCACAAGAATGATGAGGCAGCAACACGAATTATGTGATCGCTGCTGCATCTTGGCTTTCCTGCTGGCTGTGTGCGTGCGGGTAACCCAAAACCAGTTGATGATAGAGCAGAAACCCACAGCGCCCAGCTCGCAAAAACTCCCCAAACACCACCAAAAAATAAGTAAATACAAAAGCAGAACAAAAACAATGGCAGCAATCGCTCTTGCCTTCCTTTGTTCCCCCGCTGCTACCGCTTTTTATAAACAATAAATTTGCACATAACTAAAACAGAATACTCGACATTTGCATAGTATCGAAGCTGTGTTCCCCAGGGGGATTCGTTCGGCCTGTGCGTGTCCGCCTGATGAAGCTGAACAATTGACGGTGCTTCCAGTGGGTTTTTTACTGGGGCTTGTTATAAGGCTTTGATCGCAGATTGTGCGGGAGTCAAATGAGTGAGAGCTCTTGTCTAGCCCAGAGCCCGATGAGTTTGATGTTCCTAACACTCATCATCTAGACGGCGGGCCTATAACTTATTGATTCCTTCAATAATGTAAGAAAACACTTAAAAAGGAAACAAGAGCAAATCATTCAACATTTTTATAAAAATTACTGTCCCATTTAGGCCCTTAAAACATTTTGTCGGTGCAGAAAAAGAAACAAAATCCCGATCCAGTTTTGAGTTTGAGTTATGGAAGTTATACTGCTTGCCTTTATACTTGATATTTACATACAATGTCGACCAATAAGTATTAATATTTATATACCTCTTTTAAGGAAATTGTATCTCTATTAACGAAAATCAAGAATTTTTAAATCTTATTAGATTAGTAAACACCATACAAGTTGAATACACATTCTTCTATTTTTCAGATTTTGTTATGTTTATGAAAGAGAAAATATCGTAAAACACTTAATTTTATTTTACTTTGGAACATTTGGTTAGCCCCTAAAAACATTTTGTCTGTGCAGAAAAAGCAAAAATTTCCCATTCCAGTTTCATGTACGATATAGAACAATTTTGAGTTATGGAAATTATACAGCTTTCATTTATTTTTATATATTTTCAAACAATATCGACCAATAAGTATTAATATTTATACCTATATCTCTTTTGAGGAAATTGTATTTTTATTAACGAAAATCAGGACTAATGTGTTAGTCCATTTTTAAATCTTATTAGAGTATTAAACACCATACAAGTTGAATCACATTCTTCTATTATGCAGTTTTTGTTTATGTTTGTTATGTTTGTGAAAGAGAACATTTTATTCAGCATTGTAAAATATTTAAGTATTAAACACCATACAAGTTGAATCACATTCATCTATTATGCAGTTTTTGTTTATGTTTGTTATGTTTGTGAAAGAGAAAATTTTATTCAGCATTGTAAAATACTCAATTTTATTTAGCTAATTACAATCATCGATTACAATTGATAAAAGTTTCACTGGGAGACCAATCGGCAGGGAAAAACCATGGCAATTTAAAATAAGTACTTTTAATGGCAATAAATTCTTATAAGTAATTTGCGAAGTCGTCTAACGAAAGTTATCCTCATAACGAAGGTGGCTCTTCCGACCAGCCGTCATCTTCGAAGCGGTTTGGACACCACTCAACCGCTTAGCCCGCACCACCAGCTCCCACAAAGTGGGGACAACTTTTCTACAAGTGAGGTAATTAGCTAAATGCCGCAGCCCAATCTAATCGACAGCTCCACCGAGGCACTTTAGTGAAAACCGAGAGGCGTTGGTCAGCTCGATTTAGTTTGCCGCAGATCGGAAAAACTTTCATTCAATTGCAGCGGCAGCATCAAGTGAGCAGCAAATCAAGCTTGGTGCATACGCAAATAGAGTCTTGCCACACTCCGAACGCACACTTAAATTGAAAATTTCGAAAATTAAGAAACCAACCAAACTTCGTTATGGAAATCAAAGCCGTTTAGAGTTTGTCAATTATTTTTATG